CATGTTAAACCCCTCCCACACTTTTTCTGCAGCAGGTGCTAAATCATTTAAAATAATTTATTTTAAATAAAAATTCCATGTTGATCGTGCGGCTCATCCATCAATCAGCCAGTTGTGTGTCATGTCCTGTCTTATTTTGAAAGACCGCGATAGAGCGAGTCCGCGATAAACGAAGTAGCGAGGGACTACTGTATTGTTCTTTGTCACTTTAGTTGGCCTTGTCTGATTTCAGATGTGGTGTCAGGCTCCGCCTCCCAGTCCTCCTCTGCCAACGACATCTCATCCATGTCCACGGAGCACACGTTGGCGTCGGACACGGACAGCAGCAGCATCGACACACTGACAGGGCCACTGGACGAGAGCCAGTGAGCGCCAGCGTTAGCCACACGAGGGGGTCTGTTCGCTTCCTGCAGCCCTCTGACCCGTTTACAAAGTATCTGACAACTGTCTCCTCCTGGTTTTACTTTTTTGGGGCCCCAAATCTGTTTATTTTATTTTTTTTTCTTTTAATCCTTCAATGAAAAAAAAAGTCTTTCCTGTGTGATCTGGTGCCACCTGAAGGTCAAATCTATCAACGCTATCATTTGTGTCAGTTTTCATTTTCTCTTTATTTTCTTGGTGAATGTTAAACTCGACCGTGCACACAGTTTTTGGCGTATGCTTCCATATTGATTAATAGAAGTAGTTGTGGTGAAGGGGCGGGGCTTGGCGTTTGATCTTTATGCCTGTATTTTAATAGTTTTATTTTTTTAGATATATTGAGACGGGGTGGGGTGGGGGGGTGTCATCGAGTTAGAGCAAACATATCTTAGACTGCACCCGTCAGCTGCGGTCATGCATGCTGCGCCAAAAAGAACAAAAACTTACCAACGAACTTACATTTGTCAAACGGTGATCGGAAATTAGATTTTCTCTAGCACGCTGAAAGTATTTCAGATTTCCACAGTGGTGCTTTTTACTCTGTTTGTTTTTTTTAATGGCATGTGTGATGTGGATTATGAGCTTTTCCTTCTAACAGCTAGGAGGTGCAGTGGTTTCTGTGTTACAGTTTTATTTCCTGATATGATGTACTGTATGTAAACATGTCAAGTTCTGCCACTCACAGTGATTATATAGACCCTTCCATTACAGATCGATAAGGTCCATTAAGACAACACATCTGTAGATATATAAACCATATTTGACTTAAGGTACAGATTATTAGTGTGAAATATCAGACGGATCACAAACCAGTAAGTCTAAAAGAGGCATAACATTATGACACGTGTATTTATTTTATTTTTGTTCTTGCAAAATTTTGCACACAAACCACACTGAAGCCCGTGAAACATGTAAACCTCCTGTTGAAGCATTTAAGAGTTGCTCTTCTCTGAACCATTCCTCTAGTGCTGAAGAGTTCCAAAATAAATCATGACATCTGACACGTAGAAGACACTTAAAACACAGAAACGAGACAAGAATCATGTCGAACGTGCATGAAGGCGTCACGCCTATAAGATACCGCAGGTCTCGTCCTAAAATAAGTCCGTTCAGGTTTGTTTTTTCACTTTCAGAGTATCATGGTGCATTTTGGTTCCAAGAGCCTGACTGCAAATAGTTCTCTTGCCTTGTAAGCCTATATGTGTGTTTGTGATATCTATTTGTATTTTGCAGCACTCTTATCGTTATCTTGAGTCATCTTTAAGACAGCCCCGTCTGTAGAACGAAGAGCCCGTGGAGAAAGTGTGCACGGCAACAAAACGCACACACGTTCTAAAATAGTGCAAGAGACTGTGGAGTCTCCTAGCTGGAATCTGGACCCTGCAACCTAAAGGGGAACCTTTATAAATGAACTGCAGAGCTACTTTTTGCCTAACTGATTGCACAGTGTGTTGGACAAGAGGAAATATGACACTACGGAGTCACTGAGGACTTACGCACCATGTTGTACACAACCATGACTTTATTCTTTCTGTCATGCCTTTAAAAAAAAAAATCCTGACGAGTGGCCAAGTTGTTCTGCAAACCCTCAGAGATGTCCCGTGTGATGATCATGACCACAATATTATCACTTGGCCAACATTTCCCCATATTCAAACTAATAAAGTGGACATCAGTGATTCTTTGGTGGTCTTCTTTAAATGCAGTTTATTTCATGAGGTTTTTTTTAACTGTAAAGAAAATGATTAACTTTGTGACGTACAACGATAAAAGACTAGATTTTAAGACGTCATCAGACACCAAGTTTCTCAGAAGCTCTTAACGATGCATTCGGTCTTCTTGGCCTCGTTGTTGAGCTCGCCGAACGTGTCGAAGAACTGCTCCATCTCTCTCTGCAGCGTGGCGTTGCGCAGCTCCGCAGCAGCCCGGGCCCTCTCGGACTCCACGATCTTTGCCTGGACCACTTCGTACCAGTGCCGCTGCTGCGAGAGGTTCGTTTTCAGTCGAACAACCTCCACCTGCAGCTCCTCGTTTCTCTGCTCCAGGCTGGAGACGTGGAGGAGGAGGGAGAGATTCAAGGATATGTTTATAGATTCATTAGCCACGGTGAATTATTTTCACCTAAAAGGTGTTGGACTTGTCGGACGTTTGACCTCTAAAGTTAAAGAAAATATATTTATGTGTTGTGGACCACACCAACACCCACCCCCCGCAAGAAGTGAAAAACCGCGAAGTAGGGACAGTAGTACATGTAGTAAGTAGTAGCTTATTTTACTATA